CACCACAAAAGAATGTCCTTACACACAGCGCAGTGGGAGGGTTTTAGAGTCATTGTGGTTGGAATTTAACCGTAGAGGGTATCTCCGAAGGAGTCCCGTTGATATGTCAACCATATTTTAGGGACCAGAGAGTGAACTCGAGGTATTTGAGTCAAAGTATGGGGAGTAGGTCTGGAATGGGAGAATGATATGAACAGAGGACCAATAGGGAAAGCGATAAGAACACTGATGGTAGGCAAAGAAGGGGAACCAACAAGGCAAAGAGCAAAAGATTTGAAGGTGAAAATTGAGTTTTCCATGAAGCAAGGCAGCTCTTCCTACAATTCCTTGAATGAATTAGTTGACCTTATCTTATCATTCTAATAATATACATATTTTGTTTTGACATGCGATATTATACACTACTTTCATTTACGGAAATAAGAATTTGAACTTGGTTGCAAAGGAACGGATACACTACTATAACCACTGGAGAGAAAAGCCTCAACTTAACAGTGGTGAGAAAAGAGTTCAACACAGTATCATGACAACTCCTAGAGTTCTTGAAGATCCGATTGTTCTTTTCATCCCATAGACCATAAACAGTAGCAGCCAAATACAACTTCTTCACCGTAGGAGCTAACAAATTTCCTTTCCAATGAAAAGTTGCCCAATCTAAGTACAGAGGTCATGGAGTATTTAACCAAGGCAAGTCACAAGCAACTAAAACGACACGCCAAATCAGCATATTAAAAGGGTCGCTAAAAAAAAAGATGAGCATGGGATTCAAACCCACTCCCACAGAAGGAGCAAGAAGGATTTACCCTGATCAAGTGTAGAAAATTTGCCCATAATAGCTAGCCATAAAACGAAGCTAGCTCTAGGAATACATTGACCGTGCCAAACCAAACTAGACCAAGTTACCCTAGGACCCGAAGGTCAACCTTATCAATCACAAATCGACCAACTCCACATATTATCAATCACAAATCGAACTAAGCAAAGCATCATTTGGGAGTCCAGAATTGATAATAAAATAATTGTCCCACATCAAACTAAGAGGGTCATGGGGTGTCAGTTGTCATGCAAAAAAAAATATAGAGTTTCCATCACCAATTATATGCCTAAAGAGTTTCCATCACACAATAACAAATTCATTTAAGCATAGAAATTGGAAATTTGAAAGTGTCTAAAAGAAATTCCCAATCCAGAGTATCATAAGCCTTCATAATGTCCACCATGTGAAGTACTCCCTTATCGCTACACAAATCTTAAGGGGCAATGGAAACACAACGTACGAGCCGTAGGTTAGTGTTGGTTCCATGCCCATTCCAAGGGCATATAACTCTCATACTTCAACTGGGCACTATCCTTCAATCCGAGAGCTTCTACATCATAGTCACTCACACCAACTTCAACTTTCTTTCGAACTACCCTGATTTCGATTTTTTAGAGATGTTTGATGGCTTATATGAGCAAAATATCTCATCCCACAATTTTATTGCTGCGATATTAGGTTTTAATGTCTAACTGCAAATCCCCACTCCAAGATTTCGTGCATCATCTATGATGAGTACAGAAGAGGTGGCTAATCATCTACGATTGCCTAGCATTATACTGACTACTAGCAGTGCAGCAAATATGATCTTACCAAGCAATCCTTAGAAGATGGTTACTTTCCAATTCAAGGTAACAATAAGACACATCAAATTTTTCGAATTGTATCTTGACTTATTAACTATGAGATGTAAATGCAACAAATTGATCAATTATTTGATTGATTTTAACCTTTTTACAGGAAATAAGACTCGATGGCTCTATGGTTTTTATAACTTTTGCAAATGTCTGCACTGACCTTAAGATCTCTGATGCTTGACCATTCTGAGTACAGATTCTATAATGCTGGAACTGGCATTAGGACTCTAACCACTAAGATGTCAGAGGCTTAGTCTGCTTACTGCAACTACTAGTGAAAGCACATGATTCAAGGTCATCTTCGGCCGTCATTTCATTTAGAACACCGGGATGGCCTTGAACAATCATCGCTGGCACGACTTCAGAAAGAGTACAAAACTGTTTCATCCCCGTCTACAAGCTTGGTGAAAGAGGACCAGAGTTGTATGTCATGGCTTCATGAACAAGCACACAACTCTGTCATCTATGTAAGCTTAGGAAGTACAGCATTCATGGACAGTAAAAACTAGCTAAAATGGCATGGGGTCTGGCCAACAGCAAGCAGCCTTTCTTGTGGGTGATTTGGATGATGAACAGTTATTTGGAGCACTCGCTCGTCCTCAAGCGAGATGAGTACATCCTCGTTGGAGAACGCTAACAACATCTTCGTGAGGACGTGGGCATTTCGGGTCTCTCGCTGCGTGAGCAAAGTAACGAATGTAAAATGCACGCTCATTCTCAATCATTATAAGTGTCTTAATAACTCACCAAGCATATTACTTGTTGCACCATAACCTTGCTCCCTAGCCTTGACATGCTTAATCCATGGATAGAAAAGAAATCATCAATAGCCACCTTAAGTGAGTCAGCAGTATTATCAGTGGCTTGTACAACGCATAAAAAAGGCTCGATCACATGACCTTTATCCACAAAACATATTACAATAGCCAATTGCTTAATTGAAGACATGTCATGAAGCTCATCGATAGGAACGGAAAAGTGTGAACCACCAATATCTTTAACGATTGCATTGATGATTTCCATTGAAAAAACAGTTATGACGTCCTGAGTATCAGGTGAAGTCAACTTTAGACCTAAGGAAGGATTTCTCAATGTGATGGCTTTTAACTCCTCGTGATGATCACATTGGAAGTTCCAGAGTCCAAGAAAAACTCCTTCGTTGTTTGAACCTTAATATTCATCATCTTTGCAATATATAAGGCCTTGATGCCCTTGATGCAAAAGAAACCTCATACAAAACATCCAAAAGAGTGTTACATTCCTTTAGTGCTTGGTGTTGCTTTAATAAAGCATCATAGGTTCTCCAAGCTTGGTTGAGGGCGCTATTCCGTCCTCCAACATGACCCTGCAACCTTTCCTTCTTTCAATTAGAAAACCCTTTACTAACAAAGCAATCACCGCAGGCTTGCTCTCCCGTATTTAGCTTAAACAGATAACAACATAGACAATACAAAGCATCTTTTACTATAGTATATTCCAACCAAGTTGGAAGCTCATTAAACCAAGCAGAAATAAACCTTCTCGGACCCCCACTAATACTCTTGTTGGGAAAGTCATGGTCTCGAGTCAGAAAATGACCCTTTTGTATATATGCTCTTCGAACTTAGGATGGTAATCCCAAATTCGAGTGCGCAGCAAGGGACTCTTCCAAGTTGATTTCGACGCAAGCTTGTTTTGAGCTTTTGTTGTTCTCTTTTGGAGACGATGACAACTCCATTGACTGATCAGATGATTTTCTTTTCAAGCACCTTCCATGGCCGCTCTACTTCAAAATTTTGGGTCTTTTAGCACATATATCATACGAACCAGAAATTCTTCAAAATCCTAATAATTATTCCAGTATCATCCAACAATCAGAAATACTACAAAAGTCTTCTTGTATTACTGCAAGGGTACAAAAAAAATCCATTGGATTAAATTTACTGAGGAAGCAAAGAGTGAGAGAGAGAGGGAGTTTTTGAGTCCTCAAACGTCTGAGAGAGAGAGAGAGAGGGAAACAAGGGCGAGGAAGGAACTTTGTAGGCAGCGACAGGGTAGGGGGCACTTTGGGCTTAAAGGCATTTTCGTGTTTTTGTTCAACCGAAAAAAAAAAAAAAAACATTTTTTTGTTTTTCTTTAATACAATTATATATTTACATAAACTCGTTACTCCTAAAGATTCGTACCTAAGAATGAATACTATTAAATCGCAATACTAAATGTCAATTGTTAAACAATGATATATTTACACAAACTCAAAATGGACCGGACTAAAGAGTATAAGAGAGGGTCGAGTTGGCCACTTCATAGACAACAAAATTTATTTCAAGATAGAGATGTTGGATACTACAATTCCAGTCACATTATAAATATATAATATCAATAGTATTTGTAGTTTGATATAAATATTTAGACAATCAAAATTTGTCATTTGGTCAAATAGTGCTAAATAGATAAATTAAGGTCAAATGTGAAATTTTCAGAAAGACGCTGACAAATGCTCATTTCTTACTTAGGATGAAAAGGTAGAGGAAAATATTGTTAGCCAATGAAAGAGAGAATCAAAGAGTGGAGGAGGAACTATTTTGCGATTCATACGTGTAATCCTAGCGTAGAAATCACACTAATCTTCTCTGTATCGTTCTAATTTTATGAGATGTCCATGAAGGAGATTTCATGGCGTTTTGCTCATAGCGAATTTAAGAGAACATTGATGCTCGAACGATGAAGATTTTGGTTGTCAAATTGGGCTCTTATTTTCTAGGGAGTTTAGGTTTCAATTTGAGCTTTTGAAGGGCGACACAGAAGGGGTGATTGATTAATTACGATCTCTAACGAAATCCAACACAAAGCAGCATGATGGCGTAATCAATGCTCCAAAACTTGATAATTCTAAGATACAATCCAATTGTAGTATGAAAAAAATTCACATTGTGGTATTTTGGATGTTGGAATCGGAACAATCGATTCACTAAAACAATATTTATAAAAGAAAAAGACAAGGATTGAGCTTTCTAGGTTCTTTTTCTTTGCGATGGTGGCTCCACAAGTCAAGCCGATACCGAGCTCTGCAATGGTGGGCTCTGCAAATCATGGTTGCCATATTGCAAAATCCATCAAAAACATTCTCAGGGAAAACGTTCATATGACCTAGCATCTTAATATTTTCTTGTAGTGCTCATCAATATGATCGCGTGAGCATAAGCAGAACGAATTTTAGAACTAAAATAAAGATTCCATGGCACTACAAAGTTTAAGGATAGTATAATAATTTTGTATTACCATGATTGATTACCTTATGCTGTCAGTTTACCTTTATTTTTCATTTCTATTTCAAATTATTTTATTTCTTTTCCTTTTCATTTTGTTTCTTTTTATTTAGATGTGTATTAAAAGTGAAAAAAAATTAATGATATTCTTCTTTATTCGTAACTTGTACGCGGAAAATCTTATATTCGATTATCATTACATGCGAATTTGAATTATATTACATCTAGCCATTATTATTATTATCAAAACATGTTCTGTCTCATCTCACATACCAAACGTACTTTTGATGATAGATAATATCGTTTATTCTAAAAAAGGGGAAAAGAATTAAGATGTAAATAGTGGGAGAAACCCATTTTCTTTCCTCCTCCGGTATCCTCCCTCCTTCTCTTTTGCGCTGCAACAGGAGCCCCATTAAACAGCAAGCCGACGACTGCCGAGTGCCGACGCAACAGCTCTGTCGTCCACGGGTCACCAAAGGCTCTCAAACTACACATCCAGAATGCTCTTGCCGTCCTTTATCCAATCCCCAAGTTAGTTTCTATAAGTTCGTAGGCGATTTTCCTCAACTTCAAATTTAAGAAACGGTGACCCAGGGTTTTCCGGCCAACTTCCGGCCAATATCACCTGAATTTGACCTCGACCCAAGAGGTAGAAATGATCCTCTTCTCGTGGGCTGTTCTCCAATGTAAGTTCTTCTTCCAAATTTTCAACTTTCAGTTTTGGGATTGATTCTTGATTTCGAATTTTATTCGATTTGTGTGTGAATGTCGGAGATGAGACTTGTGGTAATTGTTGTATCTGTGAAGTTGTTGAAATCCCTAACGATTACGTTCCCGGTTGATAGTTGAAGCATGTCTATAGCATGATGTGGGATTGAACTCTTTTGCGTAGGAATTATAAAATTCATGGAAAGAATGTGAAAATGTGGCACGAAATTAGAAAATGGGGGCCAAAATCATGTTATGATGAAGGCAATAGCTTAGCCTGATTCCTTGTTTATTGTAGTTGTATTCAACAGCTTGCTTTGGTTTTGAATTGCCCGCTGTCCAGTAGATGTTTAAGACTTAATGTGGAGGAAATTCTCTCTTGAAGTTGCTTGAACTTACCTATTTGGTAGACAAGGCTACTCAAGGGAGAGCTAGCCTGAGGTGTGAGTGGACATTTATTTAAGAAATGTTTTTTCTTTATCAAATATTAAGCATGCCTAGATAAATATGATTTCCGTTACGTTTAGGAGAAAACCAGATTTTATGAATTAATAGCGGACCTTGTAGTGTATGTTCATATTATTCAGCTTTCATTAGTTACGGCTAGCTAGTGTATCATAATATTGTTCAACTTATATGTAATGTAAGTGATCAACATTACAGTATATTCAGCTTTCCATTCTACAGACATGTCATTCAACTTACACATGTATGGTATCACGGAATTTTTAGCATTATGAATTGAAATGCAAATATTGGTAGCTAGAGACAACATTTCCAAATTATCATTATAAATGGCAATACAAGAACTCGAGCACAAATAAGCAAAACACAAATGATGCGAATTTAGAAACAAACAGTAATAATCGCAATCGAAATTTATGGTACATAAAATAAGCAACATAAATAGTATTTTTGGAATGAAATTCTGGTGCAACAAATGTCCTTTTATTGGTTTGTACATATGATATAGTAAACGAATTGCTGTAGCCACAACGTTCTTTAAACTCTTTTCCTGCATGCATTGGAGAATATTAGAAATCACTGAAATTGGAATAAGTTGAAACGCTTATGCTTATTGTATATGTGTTTCCAAAAATAGCGGGTTAAGGACTCAATTAATTTTTAAGCCACTTAGCACTACGGTTATGTTTATTGTATATGTGTTTCTGATAAAGGTTTCTCTTGAGGCAGTTGGTAATCTGAAATGCTTCTTCCTCACACCTTAACTGCTATTAGCTACCTCGGAAAAATGAATCAGGTAGCAGATTGTGGTTTTAGATCCAAACTGTTCAATTTTTCAAGTGCTATACATGTATGTATATATTATATAAAACATCGTAGAATATTTTTTGAGTGCTATATAGATAAGTTGGAGATGGAAACATGCTAACCTTTGTGCTTGATCAATCAATTGTGTTCGTCATTCCTGTTGGTTTCGTCATTTTCATCCTTGCCTTCGATTTCGTCATCGTCATCCTCATTGTCGATTTCGTCATCTTCATACTTACTGTATTAGAAATAAAAGACGATGTTTTCTTGAGATATAATTGACTTTTCTAAAATATATACATATATATATATACACACACACGCATATACATTAATATATGTATGCTATTATATAGTCTTCTGTAAAAACTTTAGAAATTCCACGTATACATCAAGATTTAAAAGAGAGATGTTAAAAAAAAAATCATCTTTAAATACGAACACATAAGTAATTGAAAATTAGAAACTTTAAAGTAAAGCATATCAGTGGTTGTATATTGATGATGCGGTCTTCCAGGTGGACACAAAAGTGATTACAAATTAGAAACATTAATCTAAAGCATACACACACACACACATATACATTAATATATGTATGCTATTATATAGTCTTCTGTAAAAACTTTAGAAATTCCACGTATACATCAAGATTTAAAAGTGAGATGTTAAAAAAAAAAAAAAATCATCTTTAAATACGCACACATAAGTGATTGAAAATTAGAAACTTTAAAGTAAAGCATATCAGTGGTTGTATATTGATGATGCGGTCTTCCAGGTGGACACAAAAGTGATTGCAAATTAGAAACATTAATCTAAAGCATACCTTGTCCATTCCTGTCGAAATGCGGGTTTTACTTGCAATCGGGGATTATGCGTGTCAACAAGCTTAGAATCAAATGGCCTTAAGTCTTGCACATTAATAACCTCCAATAACTCCAAAGACGGCAACTTCAAAGTGTAAGCTTCGCAACAAAAATACTTGAGTTTTGGCAGACTTTTAAGCCAGATGGACTTCACTTTAGGTAATGTAATTATTTCCCCTGTTTCTTCTTCTTCTGCGGCAACGATTTCTTCCATCTGCTCGCACCTATCAACTTTTATGTCCTCTACACTCACAAGAAGTTTGACTATGGACGAAGAAAACAAGTATTTCAACCGGTCGCAACATTGGACATCCAGCGATTTCAAGTTTCCAAAACTGCTTCCTGCGAACATCGGTTGTGAACTACCTGTCTCCCAAACACGCGTTAAACTTGGCAGCTTCTGTAACTCGAAGGACCTCAATTTATTGAATGCTTCAACGGAGTGACTACTTTCTTCAAGCTTCGGTCCCTTTAGTTGGAAAATCACTTCCATTGATTTACAGTCACTTACAGTGAGATTTTCGAGATTATCATCATCATTTGAGTCCTCAAGATTAGTTGGTGCAACCTAGAAAATTAAACACGATCAACAAGATGATATAAAAGTTGTACTTATAGGGGTTAATTGAACCTAATTTAAAAGCTTACCTCCGAATTAATTGGACGTGGCAATATTTCAATAGAGCGGTGGGCGTTAGGTCTTGAATATGGTGTGCATCCACATCCAGCTGGGCACCAATTTGATGAACGTGTTGGAGAAGTGCTGAAATCATGACTTGTTGAATCCTTCTCAGACTTATTCGCTAACTTCTTTCTTTGTGGAATTACAGCACCCAATGTCTTCAATTTGTCACATGTTTCCACGTGCATATTTTTTGTGGATGACCGTAGAAATGTAGATCCCGCTGGACAAAGACTTGTGAGACGAGGCAGGTATTTTAGTTCAAATGTGTTCAGTTTCCTCGGATACAAAATCATGTCTTTTGTCGCCTCTTCTTCATTTTCCTCTGTGATTCTGACTATAGTTTCCATGTCTGTACATCGAGCTATCTTTACCTCTTCAAGATTCAAAAGTTCTCGGGCAATTAAATGCGAGAACACATAATTTATTCCAGAACAATATGTCAATTTCAAATATCTCAAATTTTGGAAGCCCTGGAATCCAGACGGAATGTTTTTCCACAAGTATGTAAACGAACAATCGTATATCTTCAACTTACGTAACTGGGGACATGTTGGAGCTGTCTGCCCATCCATAACCATATGGATTTTCAGATCAAATAGCACGCCTTCAAACTCCATATATTTCAATACTACCTCTTCTAAACTTGGAAACCATGAAATGCACTTTGATGGAAATATTGCTTTTTCAAATATTCCTGCAGATTGATGCTCAACCCTTGGCGTTGTTTCCTGAAAAAGAAAAATCATTATCGGTTAAACAATTTCAAATTTCCACATATCGGCTACCTCCTCATATCATAGAGATTGGAGAGTGGGACATACCTCTTGGTTGGAGTATAGCTTGTTAGCTTGGAAGAAACCAGCCAAACTCTGTAGATACCCGAGATTCAAATTGGTTAATTTATGGAAAGATATCATATCGGCTTCCTCATCGTGTTCCCTCCCCTGCTTCGACACAATTTCTTCCATTTGATCACATCCACGAATATCTAATTCCTCGAGTTGTACCAAGTTTCTCACTACTGATAGTGAAAAGGCATACTTTAAGACACCACAATCTGACAATCGAAGGAATCTTAGGTTGGTCAAAAAGCTATTCGGAAGCTGACTAGCTGATTGTATGCGAGGAAAGAGTGCACTTGTTCCATTTACAAGATACTCGATATTTGGACAATCATCAAGATACAAAACTTTCAGATCTTGAAATCCCTCTTCGTCTAAATCAGTGAGGGCAGAGAAATTCTTAACATTGCGCAAAGCTAATTTTTTAGATTTTTTCAACATAAGTCCAACTGCTTGACTCTCCATCAACTCCCTTGCATCACTTTCAACAATCACCAAACAATTTTCGAACGCATAAGTTGTCATCATCATCAACTTCCTTGCATCACTTTCAGCATATCTATCGATCATCTGACAAAATCCCTTCGCCCCAGTTCCCAAGCATATACGGAATTTTATTGTTGGGTTTTTCAAGACTATGTCTTTTGGCAACAAGTGGATGACATTTATGGATAGAACCTTCAAATGATGAGACAGAGACATCACCTCAGAAATGCTTGCCATCCTCTTATCTTCTCTTCCTGTTCCAAGGTCCCATTTATCAAAGCTACCCATCATATACAACTCTTCAAGTCTACATAAGCTGGAGAAGATACCATGTGGAATCACCTTAAGATTCTTGCAGTTTGTCGTATCTAACAACCTCAACTGTTTAAGTCGTCCAATTTCGCTCGGCAACTCACGCATGTAATAACAATCCCGAAAGCTGAGGATTTCTAAATTCTCCAAAGGCCCAATAACATCAGTAGACATGCCATCAAAGTCAGACCCATCTAGGATCAAGGTCCGCAGGTTCTTCAGTACTCCTGGTGATCTTGATGAGCCTAGGTCTTCCATTGCCATTCCCACCAAAGCTAAAACCTTCAGTTCTTTCATCGCATCACAAATGATGTCCATGCTACCTTTTGAAAAACGTCCATTCATTGTCTGTAGAAGCTCAAGTTTTGGGCAACCAACTGGAATCTCCAGATCGCCAACTAGTGAGATTGTGTCATATGTAGCTAAATTTGGCCACTCTTTATTTTCAGCATGACTTCTTACCAGAAATCGATGTGGATCTCTTGAAGCAATCGATATGGCAACATCGCGAACTATGTCATGCACTTTTGTAGTCTCACTCCTGCCACCATCTAGTAACAAAAACCTTCTTTTTAGTTGGTCAACCAAAGAATGCACTCTATTTCTTGCATCTTCCAAAGTAACGATGCTGCTAAAATATCCTCGACCCCACCCATATCGAACCAAATACTCAATTCGAATATTATAATCTTCTGGAAATAAACAACAAAGTAAAAGGCATGACCTTGCTTCATCACTCTCCAAGCCATCAAAACTCAATTTTATGCTAGAATAAACTTTGCTGTCCACTCCAGGGATGTTCACTGGGTTAGAATTTCGCAGCTGATTAAGGGCATCTTCCCATGCATGCTTCTTTTTGTTTTCTAGGGCTTTTCCAACAGTAACAATAGCAATAGGTAAACCTCCACATTCCTTCACAACATCTTTTGGAGTGGAATGTAAATCAGGATCATCGAAGGATTCACCTACCATTTCTCTAAAGAGCTCCTGTGATTCTTCTGTTGTTAAAGTCCGGACTTCAATAATTTGTTGACTTCTCATCTCGTTGCAGACTTCCAAATTCCGTGATGTCAACAAAATTTTGCACCCTTTATTAGTATGTTCGTAAGGAAGTCCTATAGCCTTAAAATCAAGCTCTGTCCATACATCATCTAATACAATCAGGATCCTTTTTATTTCCGTGAGTCTCCCATATAGCTTTAGTGCTCTTACAGACTCGGGATCCTCATCAAGTTTCAAACCTATTTGGCCTGCAATTTCCGACTGGATCGTCTTAACACTTGGACTTTGAGACATAGTTGCCATTACGATTTCGTCAAACAGGTTCAGTTCTGCCAATCTTGTGATGATTTCTTTCACCATTGTGGTTTTACCCACACCTCCCATTCCACAGATCCCGATCAGTCTTACTTCTTCCCTCTTCAAACCCTCTATCACCTCATTGATCTTTGCCATTCTGGACTTAAAATCTTTAAAACCTTCTTTGAATGTTGACCATATCTTTCGTGGAGGTGCAGGATGGGCCACATTTTCAAACGTTCCTTTGTTTTGGAGCTGAAGAACATGCTGTGTAATCTTATAGGCTTTCCGACTCAAGCTCCATCGATACACACATCGCCTTTTCTTGTTAATTTCATCCTCAAACTGCAACACTTTTTTGACCATGTCGTCGTTCACATTCTTTAGCCAACTCTGAACATCAGGTTTGATGATTTTACCGTTCCTTTTGGCAGCATCTACCAATTTCTGCACTCCATCTTTCTTGTCAAAAAGCTTTTTTATCTCACCCCTAAGACTTTCAAGGTTGGAATGGTAATTAAACAAATAGCCAAACTCTGTTCCTATTGGTGTGACCAAGCACTCTCCAATTTTTGAGCCAATTGCAATTATAATGTCCGTAGCCATTTCCTTCTGAAATCAAAGACTGCGGCTGGAATGCTCCTCTTTGTTGATAGCTTTTGTAAGTCTCGCGCTCAGTGCTCTAATGCCTAAACCAAAGAGGCAACCCAACAGAACATTAATAATCATATATTTTTGTCCTGTTTAAATCTAGATTGTATTATCACTTAATACTACAATCTAGTGGTATTTCTATTCATTTGTAAGTTAGAGATCTTAGGTTCGATTATCGTTAAAAACGAATTTGAACCACATTATTGCAAGCCTATTGTGAGGCTTACATGATATGGTAAGCAACGTGATATATCAGGGTTTTTTCAGTTCTTTTATATCTTTATTTTTTTGTTTTATTGTTTTTTCATTCATTCTCATCCCATTACCATAGACCCCACACCTCCTCTAGTTTTTTATTATTTTTTTATTTTTTAGCAGCCCTCATGGTTTGTTTCAAATTTCAAGCCTCCTTCCTCCACCACATGGACGGAGCTAATGAAGGCTCATTGGGGGCAGATGCCCCCACTTAGGTAATTCGTTTGTTTAGTCGTAAACTACAATTAGATAATATACATGCGTTATTTTTAAAGAAAATATATGTATCTAATATCATACGTTCATACTACTTAAACTTCATATCAAATATTATATGAGCAAAAGTGTTTTGTTCTGTTATTCAAACCGAAAAACCCCTCTCCTGCCTATCATATGTATTGATATTTTCTCATCACTTTGCCACTTTCCGCTACTATATTGAAATTTTTGTAACATTGAAATTGTGATACATCATCATTGAAATCTATCCCTATTATCATATTGGGTATAAACCATAGTATAATAAGATTTTTTTAGTTTTCTTTCGGGTTGTCCCCGCTAGAAAAAATTTCTAACTCCGTTCTGCTCCATCACCCACCATTTATGACAATTTTGAGCCCAGCCGGAAAACTTATCAATTTTTTTTTTCCTATCTTTATCTTTTGTTTGAGTTTTGTGTTGATGTTTGTTAGTTTTCCTCTATGACTCATACCTTAAGGCTTAAGCATCACTTAGCTCAAACCCGTAACGATATGAAGCCTTGCTACAAAGTCCCACCTGATGCTTATCAAATTATCTCTTTGTTATCATTTCTTCGTAAAAAAATATTTTTTTCTCCTAAAATTAAAATATAATTTTACGTTCAAGATAATGAAAATGATGGATGTTTATATTTTTTAAATTATTATGTCTACATTTTATTGAGAGAATTATTTTGTATACATTATTGATACGTTTATTACAGGTTTTCATACTTGATTTTGTTCAAATTATCGATTGGTATGTTTAGTTTTAATTTTTGGTACGTTAAGTTTTGTATATATCGTTGATTGATAAGTTTAGTTTTAGTGTTGGTACGTTTAATTCTAGTTTATGGTACGTTTGATTTTAGTTTTGGTTTGTTTAATTTTAATTTTTGGTACATATCATTGGTTGATAACTTAATAATATGTCTCTTTGTTTTGGATTAATAAAAATAATAAATTTGGTTTGAAAAAGGCTAGATTTCGGAGCAACTTTTTGAATAAATTGGTGGATCAATGACACTTCATGTAATTTTGAATTTTGAAAAAAGGACATTTTAGAAAACGTGGCACCAAAATTGTAGAAAATAGTTTAATAAAAAGTCTAAATGCTAGGGATGTTGCACCTAGATCAAAATTCCCCTTACTTATATCTATATATTTGAAATAATTGTAAATTAAATCTTGAACCAAATCACATTCTTTATCTTTAAGTAGGTAATATAATTTCCCCATACCTATATGTGAAATATAGGTAAAATAAGTCTTGAACCAATTCACATCCATTTTGTTGTAGGTAAATTATTTTGCATGTATTATTACATACATTAACCACATTTTATTGTTATTATATATGTGTGGTAAAATAATTTACCTATATTTATATAGAATATAATTAAATAATTTAAAAAAAAAACAACAACGTTCTTATATTTTGTTGGTAACTAATGCTCACATATTTTGAAAACGGAAAAACTAAACCAAAAAAAAAAAAAAAAAATCCTAATTTACGCAAATTTGAAAAGCAACTAAGGAATTTAAAAAGGAAAAAAATAAAACAAATGAAAACCCTAGCGTCATATCCTTTTGTTATTAATATGCAATGAAATCATGATTTTAAATTTTGTTTTTAATCTGACATAAGTTACTAGGGGTATTTTGGGCATCTAAAAATAGAAAATTGTGTGAAGTCAAAACCTAATCAATAAAATTGTTGAGCTGGAGCCTAGTCATAGTGTTGGAGCTTAGCTGAAATACAATATTCGACGGGCACTAGAATATAAAACTAACACTTTTGTTTCTTGGTCAAGTAGGGTAAAAACAAACGCATGAAACAACAAATATTGGAAAGAAATAGAGTTTTTGAGAAGTACATACGTACCTGTATCGTAAACCAATGCAATGCAATTATCCAGCAGAGTAAAATTGAAATTCTGAAATTTATGCCTTGTTCAACAACAAATCATATGTTTGGTACTGGTAGTGGTGCTTCACGAATTTGCTAGAAAATTTGAATGTTGAATGTTAGCATACACAAGGAGGGCAGACCATGCACAGCAATGCAAATATATGAGCAGATAACTTCTATGGGGAAGAGTTAATAGGAGCTTTCTAACAATATAAACAGGAGAAGCAAAAAAAATATATACATAAAGTCATTGAGTTTTTGCAAGGAAAATATACTATGATGAGTTTTAGTTAAAGGAAATTGAATTTCAAGGGGTAAAGTCATATTTTTAGTTGATGGTTTCAATGCATGTGTATATTTATTTACTCATTATTAATTTACAATATGCAAATTTCGAACAGTTTACAATTCACCACCATATAGTAACGCGATTTTGAACTTTTTGTATTGCAATGAGAAAAATAAAAATTCATTATAAGGGGGGATTAGCTCAATTTCAGTTGACATGGATGAACATCAAAACACAATAACATATAGTACAAACACCTAAAACAACAAATATTGAAAAGAAATGGAGTTTCTAAGAAGCACATACGTACCTGTATCGTAAATCAACCCTACTATCCGGTAGAGAAAAAATGAAATTCTGAAATCTATGCCTTGTTCAACAACAATATGTTTGGTACTGGACCTGGTGCTTCACGAATTTTCTAGAAAATATAATGTAAAATCAACACTTTCGTTTCTTAACACACATGGGTAAAACTAAACACCTAAGAGAACAAATATTGAAAAGAAATAGAGTTTCCAAGATGTACATGATTACCTGTATTGTAAATCAACCCAATGCAACAGTTTGGCAAAGTAAAAGTGAAATTCTGAAATCTATGCCTTATTCAACAACAACTCATGTGCCTGGTACTGGTGTTGGTGTTTCACGAATTTGCTAGAAAATATGAATGTTGAATGGTATCATGCACAAGAAGGACAGATTATGCTACCTCAGCAATGCAAATATATGAGCAGATAATTTCAATGGGGAAGGGTTGATAAGAGTTTTCTACCAATATAACTAGAGAAGCAAACAAATACATTTAACGAGCATTACCTCAAGAGGAGGTGATTCTAAAGTAAGGTATTTTTATACTCTTACAACAAGAAAAAGACAAAGTGAAAGGAATGGGGGTACATTGCTTTCGAACCCATTTTGTATTCTCTTTAACAAGAAAAAAAAAGTGAAAAAGATTTGGATGTTTTGCTTACGAACCATTGGGTATTCTCTTTCACAAGAAAAGGATAAAGTGAAAGAAAATTGGATGTATTGCTTCCCAACCCCAACTTCTCAAAGGACAATACATGGCTTGAGCCATCCTCTTCGTGGCATCACTTTATTTCACAGTACAAACGTTACAATTAGAATTGGTATTCTATTTTGAACAATAGTAGGCTTACTATTAGTCGTAATGTATGAATTTTGTACAGATTTGTTTAAAAATGTTTTTAAATTACCGAAAACGTTTTTAGTAAAAATGTTTTTTTTCTTCCAATTACAATTAAATGAAATATGGACCAGCTTAATCCTATTAACCCATTTCCCAACAAGGTATCATAAGCTGTCAGAATGTCCACCTGCAAGGCACATCTAGGAAGACCATTACTTCTACGGTAATTTTTAAGAAACTCCTTCAAAAGCATAATATTGTCTCCAATTCGCCTGCCTGCGAAGAAAGCAAATTAAGAGTTGCTCACAATAGAGGGAAGGACATCCTTGATCCGATTGGCAAGAAACTTTGCAATAATTTTGTAAATAGCATAAAGAGGAATTTGTAACAATAGTTTCTCAACTTTAACTGAATTGAAACAATGGTTCCTTAACTAAAAATAGTTTCTCAAATTGGAGCCGGTACAGAGAGTTTTTGCTTTGCTTCACTGGTTGGTGAAGGGAGTGGGTTAGTGGCGCATTTATAAGGAGTCAAAGACGTTTCTGGAAAATTCCAAGTACCGAAAAACTAGAATGGGCATGAAACCCTACAGCACAAGGAAGACAAAACTGAAGTTGCTAGAAACTTCCTGAATGAAAAAGAATTGGGCTTCGACCAAAAAGATAAAAAAGGAACTGGGATAGAAGATGGGAAAGAATTCCACCAACCTATCTTTACTGCACGTGAGGCCGTGTGGAAGTTTTTTTCTATTTTCAATTAGGCCTATTAGAGTTCAATTTATTTTTCACACTTGTACTTAATATTTATAAGCTAGAACTTTGATCAACCATTGGTAATTGGTTAGGTATAAGCTAGAACTGAATTTTTTTTTTTTTTTTAACAAAAGTGGCAAAAGAATTAATATCTAAAAAAGAAAGAAACGTAGATAATATCGTTTGTTAAAAAAAAAAAGAGGGTGAAATCCGCCACTTAGTACTATAGTCTAGTAGTAGTACTTCCTTCACTGGTAAGTAAGAAGTTTTAGGTTCAATTTTCGTCAAAGACGAATTTGAACCGCATACTTGCTGACCACCAAGAGAAAGCAGGCATGCCATTCTCAAGTCGGTACAACTCCCATTTTTCATTTTCATCCATTTAGATCATTTTCATTTTCAATTATATAAAATTGAAATATATGAGTTATTTGATGTGTTGGAGGTTTTTAATTGTGTAGATTCAAGGGGACAAAGAGAGTGGTTATGGAGTAGGCGCTCCAAACTATCCTCAAAATGGTCCCTATGGTGGCTCTGCAGCAGGTCGAGGCTCAAACATGATGAGTGGAAATTGCAATCAACAGTATGGTTGGCAGCAGTAAACGTTTGATCTGATCATTATAATTCATCACGATATGCACCTCCTTGGTCCAAGGGACATGAGCTCGATGGTTTAGCGAGTGTGATCCCAAGGGTTCGAATAGAAGCATCATTGAATCGCTGCTAAATAATTTTTACAGGATGTGAATGTGATTGATTCATATGCAAAATATTCTCAAACTAGTGTTACGTTCTAACTTCTACCCATTAATCTGTTACTTAGAAAAAAGATGCAGAAAAGCGGGAAGTTGTCATATGAGTTGTGTTTGGTTTACTTCTGCAAATTTTTTTTAAAAAAAATATATTATAAAAATAAAAAGGAAAAATTGTTAACGGGTGACCAGCCTATTAGCTTTACAGGTTGGTTTGGATGATCCGCTAACTTAATAAGTCAAGTTAAAATCGATCCAAATCCAATAAAACTTATTGATTTACATATTTAATTTATTCATTTGATGTAGATAATATTATGTATTCAAAAAAAAAAAAAAACAAAACAAAATTCTCTAGTACCTCCCTTATCCTCTTTCCCTATTCCCTTTTAAAGCTGCAACAACGGGAGCCCAATAAAGAACAAGCCGAAAACAGCCGACGCAACAGCGCCGTCGTCCACCGGTCACCAACGGCCGTCAAATTACATATCCAGACTCCTCTTTCCGTCCTCTTTCCAACCCCCAAGTTAGTTTCTACAAATTCGTGGCCAAATTTCCTCAATTGAAACGGCGACCGCGGGTTTTCCAGCCAATAATCTCGACCCAAGAGGTATAAATGATCCTCTCCTGGTGGGCTGTCCTCCGATGTAAGTTCTTTTCCAGAATTTCAACTTTCAGTTTTGGGATCGATTCTTGATTTCAAATTTTTATTCGATTTGTGGTAATTGTTCTATCTGTGATATTGTGGAATCCCCTAGATTGAACTCTTTTGCATAGGTATTATAAAATTCATGGAAAGAATGTAAAAATGTGGTAGGAAATTAGAAAATGGGGGCCAAAATCATGTTGCGATGAAGGCAGTTGCGTAGCCTGGTTCCTTGTTTATTCTAGTTGTATACAGCAGCTAACTTTGGTTTGAATTGCCTTCTGTTCAGTACATGTTTAAGACTGGATGTGGATGAAATTTTGTTGCCGCTTTATGCATACGTGTGTGGGTAATTGAGATTCGACTTTCCTAGTTAGTCTTGTGCTTTTTGCTGTTGATAAGGTCCTGAGGTGTATGGGTGTATGGGTGTGTTGGAGATTCCTTGTTTGTTTATAATGCTTGTAGTTGGAGTGATTGCAAGTTTGAGTAGTGTAAAGTTTTTCTTGTTTAATCATATTCATTTATTTTTACATAAGCATTTCTCATTTCTTGGCTCGAATCGGGTTGATTTCAGTAGTTTGCTTTGGTTTTGTCCAGAACCTGTGTTTTGTTTGGGGTAAACGTGCTACAGAATACATATCTTCAGTGAACGTTGCTTGAGGTGTGAGTGGACAAATTTTCTCTTGAAGGTGCTTCAACTTACCTTTTTGGTAGACAAGGCTCCTCAAGGTAGAGCTAGCCAGAGGTGTGAGTTGACATTTATTTCAGAAATTTTTTCTTTGTCAAATATTAAGCATGCATAGATAAATATGATTTCCGTTATGGTTTTTATTCTCACACCTTCAGTTAATCTCTTAATTAACTTTCAATCTAAAACTTGTCAAAGTACAGAATAAAAATAAGTTTGTACCCGTTCATATAATTTATTATACATGCATAAAATAAGCAACATAAGTAGTATTTTTGGAAAGAAAGTCCGGTGCAACAAATGACATTTTATTGGTTTGTACATATGAGATAGTAAAAGAATTGTTGAAGCCACAACCTTCTTTGAATTGTTGTCCTGCATGCATCGGAGAATATTAGAAATCACTGAAATTCAAATAAGTTGAAATGGTTATGCTTATTGTATATGTGTTTCCGAAAATAGCATCTTAAGGACTAAATTCATTTTTTAAGTACTAAACTTGTATATATATATATATTCTATAAAACGTGGTAGAATGATTTTTTGAGTACCATATAGATAATTTTCATCAGTTTTTACTAAACCTAGAAGAAGTTGAAGATGGAGACATGTTAACCTTTGTGCTTGATCAATTAATTGTGTTTGTCCTCCCTGTCGATTTCATCGTCTTCACCCATCCTGTGTTAGGAATAAAAGACAAATGTTTTCTTGAGATATAATTGAGTTTTCAAAAGAAGAAAAACATATCTAAATATACTTTAGTGTGCACATACGCACATTACATGTATACATATATGCGTGTGTATATATAGTATTTGACAAAATTTTGTCAAACTAAATCTGAAGTGTTGATTATGCTTTGCATAAATTTGTCGTCGAAATTTTTGTGGTGTTTGCCATTATGTTTTAGCTCGAAACCAGAACCTACTTATTGGTTGAATAACTAGAAATTTAAGATTAAGCATAATATGCTATCTTTCAGTCCTTCATAAAAACATTAGGAATCCCACTCATACGTCAAGAATTAAAAGACAGCTGTTCTCTTGAGATATAATCGAGTTAAAAAATAGCGTATTTAAATACGCACACATAAGTGACTGAAAATTAGAAACCTTAAATTAAAGCATACCTTAGAGTGGCATTGAGGTCCCCCATCCATTTAGCCCACTCCCAACGCGGTGCGTACTTGCAATCGAGGATGTGTGTCAACATGCTTAGGAGCAAATAGCCTTAAGCTTTGGACCTTCACAACCTCCAATAACTCCAAAGACGGCAATTACAAAGTATAAGCTTCACCACAAAAATACTTAAGTTTTGGCAGACTTCCAAGCTTGATGGACTTCACTTTAGGTAATGTAATTATTTCATCAGTTTCTTCTGCGGCAATGATTTCTTCCATCTGCTCTTACTTCAGAACTTCTATGTCCTCTATACTCGCAAGAAGTTTGACTATGGACGATGAAAACAAGTATTTCAACTGGTTGCAATAATAGACCCGCAGCGATTTCAAGTTTCCGAAGCTGCTTCCTGTCAACATCGGTTGTGAATTACCCGTCTCCCAAACATGCGTTAAACTTGGCAGCTTCTGTAACTCGAAGGACCTCAATTTATTGAATGCTTCAACGGAGTGACTACTTTCTTCATGCTTCGGTCCCTTTAGTTGGAAAATCACTTCCATTGAATTACAGTCACTTACAGTAAGATTCCACGGAACTATAAAGTTTAAGGATAGGATGATAATTTTGTATTACCACGGAAAATCACTTCCATTGAATTACAGTCACTTACAGTAAGATTCCACGGAACTATAAATGAAGATTTCACGGAACTATAAAGTTTAAGGATAGTATGATAATTTTGTATTACCATGGCAGATTACCTTATGCTGCCAGATTACCTTTATTTTTCATTTCTATTTCAAATTATTTTATTTCTTTCCTTTTTATTTTCTCTTTTTATTTAGATGTGTATTAAAAGTGGCAAAAAATTAATGTATTCCTTTTTATTTGTAATTTGTAAGTGAAAGATTTTATGTTCAATTATTATTAAAGACGAATTTAAACTATGTTACTTCTAGTCATTATTATCATCAAAACGTGTTCCGTCCTATTTCACGTACCGAATGCACTTTTAGTGATAAATAATAGAGTTTATTCCATAAAATAAATGTATAAAAGAATTAAGATAAAAAAAGTAGGAGAAACCATTTTCTCTCCTCCTCCGGTATCCTTTCTCCTCTTTTGCGCTGCAACAGAAGCCCCATTAAACAGCAAGCTGACGACTGCCGAGTGCCGACACAAAAGCTCTGTCGTCCACGGGTCACCAAAGGCTCTCAAACTACACATCCAGAATGCTCTTGCCGTCCTTCATCCAATCCCCAAGTTAGTTTCTATAAATTCATAGGCGATTTTCCTCAATTTCTAATTTAAGAAACGGTGACCAAAACCGGCCAACTTCCGGTCAATATCACCGGAATTGGACCTCGACCCAAGAGGTAGAAATGATCCTCTTCTTGTGGGCTGTTCTCCAATGTAAGTTCTTTTTCCAAATTTTCAACTTTCAGTTTTGGGATTGATTCTTGATTTCGAATTTTATTCGATTTTGTGTGTGAATGTCGGAGATGAGACTTATGTTAATTATTGTATCTGTAGAACATGGTGTAGGCTTTAACTCTGTAGAACCTTGTATTGTTGTGAATAGGAATTATAAAATTATAAAATTATAAAATTCATAGGAATTTTATAATTCATTGGAACACTTTTTCATAGGAATTATAAAATTCATGGAAAGAATGTGAAAATGTGGTACGGAATTAGAAAATGGGGGCCAAAATCATGTTATGATGAAGGCAATAGCTTAGCCTGATTCCTTGTTTACTGTAGTTTTCCAAATTATCATAACAAATAAGCAAACTCTAATTTAGAAACAAACAGTTATAATCACAATCGAAATTTATAATACATAAAATAAGCAACATAAATAGTATTTTTGGAATGAAATTCTGGTGCAACAAATGACCTTTTATTGGCTTGTACATATGATATGGTAAACGAATTGCTGAAGCCACAACGTTCTGTAAACTCTTGTCCTGCATGCATTGGAGAATATTAGAAATCACTGAAGTTGGAATAAGTTGAAATGGTAATGCTTATTGTACATGTGTTTCAGAAAATAGCGGTTTAAGGACAAAATTAATTTTCAAGTCACTTAGCACTACAGTTAGTTCATGGATTTTAGAGGTGCTAAAGATCTGTATTAGGGTTTTCTTTATGGGCGAGAAACCTAATACTCTCACCTATAAATATAAGGCTTAGGTCCCACTTTTATACACATTATTCTAGCACAAAACACTACCCCATATAGGAGTGCATAAGGCGTGTAGAGAGAGATGAAGATCTTTGCTTGTTCGTTGCTGATCATGGTTCAATCTTGTTCATATCAATGGCTTCTCAAGGTTAGTACTTTTAGAGTGCATATTATAGATGGAATTGCATTGGGTACCTCAAAAAAAATGAATTAGGTAGCAGAATGTGGTTCGACGATCCTTATTGTTCAATTTTTAAAGTACTATCCATGTATGTATATATTCTATAAAACATGGTAGAATAATTTTTTGAGTACTTTATAGATAATTTCATCAGTTTTTACTAAACCTAAAAGAAGTTGGAGATGGAAACATGCTAACCTTTGTGCTTGATCAATCAATTGTGTTGGTCATCTTCATCCTCCCCATAGAATTCGTAATACTCTCACCTAAAAGACAGATGTTTTCTTGAGATAGAGTTGAGTTTTAAAAAATAAAATTACTTAAAATACACTTTAGTGTGAACATATGCACATTTATATGGTATTTGACTAAATTTTGAGAACACTTTTGTCAAACTAAATATGAACTGTTGATTATGCTTTCCCTAAATTTGTAGTCAAAATTTTGGTGGTGTTTTCCATATTATGCTTGTAGCTCAAAACCAGAACGTATATGTTGGTTGAATAAATAGAAATTTAAGATTGAGCATATATAGCTCACTGACTGTAAATTATCAACCTAGCTATTCTTCAGTCCTTCGTAAAAACATTAAGGATCGAAAGAGTTGGAACAAACAACTTGAAGCATTACTGTTTAGGAGAAAATCTTTGTTGGTTTAGTGGTTGTATATTGATGATGCGGTCTTCCAGGTGGACACAAAAGTGATTGCAAATTAGAAACAAAAGTGAAATGCAAATATTGGTAGCTAGAGACAACATTTCCAAATTATCATTATAAATGGCAATACAAGAACTCGAGCACAAATAAGCAAACACAAATGATGCAAATTTAGAAACAAACAGTAATAATCGCAATCGAAATTTATGGTACATAAAATAAGCAACATAAATAGTATTTTTGGAATGAAATTCTGGTGCAACAAATGTCCTTTTATTGGTTTGTACATATGATATAGTAAACGAATTGCTGTAGCCACAACGTTCTTTAAACTCTTTTCCTGCATGCATTGGAGAATATTAGAATTCACTGAAATTGGAATAAGTTGAAACGCTTATGCTTATTGTATATGTGTTTCCAAAAATAGGGGGTTAAGGACTCAATTTTTAAGCCACTTAGCACTACGGTTATGTTTATTGTATATGTGTTTCTGATAAAGGTTTCTCTTGAGGCAGTTGGTAATCTGAAATGCTTCTTCCTCACACCTGAACTGCTATTAGCTACCTCGGAAAAATGAATCAGGTAGCAGATTGTGGTTTTAGATCCAAACTGTTCAATTTTTCAAGTGCTATACATGTATGTATATATTATATAAAACATGGTAGAATATTTTTTGAGTGCTATATAGATAAGTTGGAGATGGAAACATGCTAACCTTTGTGCTTGATCAATCAATTGTGTTCGTCCTTCCGGTTGGTTTCGTCATTTTCATCCTTGCCTTCGATTTCATCATCGTCATCCTCATTGTTGATTTCGTCATCTTCATCCTCACTGTCTATTTCGTCATCTTCATCCTTACTGTATTAGAAATAAAAGACGATGTTTTCTTGAGATATAATTGACTTTTCTAATACACACACACACACACACACACTTTAGTGCGCACATACTCGCATACACACACATATACATTAATATATGTATGCTATTATATAGTCTTCTGTAAAAACTTTAGAAATTCCACGTATACATCAAGATTTAAAAGAGAGATGTTAAAAAAAAATAAAAATCATCTTTAAATACGCACACATAAGTGATTGAAAATTAGAAACTTTAAAGTAAAGCATATCAGTGGTTGTATATTGATGATGCGGTCTTCCAGGTGGACACAAAAGTGATTGCAAATTAGAAACATTAATCTAAAGCATACCTTGTCCATTCCTGTCGAAATGCGCGTTTTACTTGCAATCGGGGATTATGCGTGTCAACAAGCTTAGAATCAAATGGCCTTAAGTCTTGCACATTAATAACCTTCAATAACTCCAAAGACGGCAACTTCAAAGTATAAGCTTCACCACAAAAATACTTGAGTTTTGGCAGATTTCCAAGCTCGATGGACTTCACTTTAGGTAATGTAATTATTTCCCCTGCTTCTTCTTCTGCCGCAACGATTTCTTCCATCTGTTCGCAGTTATAAACAAGTATGGCCTCTACACTCACAAGAAGTTTGACTATGGACGAAGAAAACAAGTATTTCAACCGGTTGCAATTATAGACCTCCAGCGATTTCAAGTTTCCGAAGCTGCTTCCTGCGAACATCGGTTGTGAACTACCCATCTCCCAAACACGCGTTAAACTTGGCAACTTACGTAACCGCAAGAACCTCAATTTATTGAATGCTTCAAAAGAGTGACTACTTTCTTCATGCTTCGGTCCCTTGAGTTGGAAAATCACTTCCATTGAATTACAGTCAATTACATAAAGATTTTCAAGATTATCATCATCATTTGAGTCCTCCAGATTAGTTGGTGTAACCTAGAAAGTTAAACACGATCAACAAGACGATACAATACTAATTAAAAGTTGTAATTATAGAGGTTAATTGAACCTGATTTAAAAGCTTACCTCCTGATTAATTGGACGTGGCAATATTTCAATGGGGCGTTGGGCGTTTGCTCTTGAATACGGTGCGCATCCACATCCAGCAGGGCACCAATTTGATGAACGTGTTGGAGGAGTGCTGAAATCATGACTTGTTGAATCCTTCTCGGACTTATTCTCCAACTTCTTTCTTTGTGGAATTACAGCACCCAATGTCATCAATTTTTCACATCCGTACACGTGCATATTTTTTGTGGATGACCATCGAAATGTAGATCCCGCTGGACAAAGACTCGTGAGACGATGCAGGTCTACTAGTTCAAATCTGTTCAGTTTCCTCGGATACAAAATCATGTCTTTTGTCGCCTCTTCTTCATTTTCCTCTGTGATTCTGACTATAGTTTCCATGTCCCGACATCCACCTATCTTTACCTCTTCAAGATTCAAAAGTTTTCGGGCAATTAAATGCGAGAACACATATTTTATTCCAGAACAATATGTCAATTTCAAATATCTCAAATTTTGGAAGCCCTGGAATCCAGACGGAATGTTTTTCCACAAGTGTGTAAACTTACACCAGGATATCTCCAACTTACGTAACGGGGGAATTGTTGGAGATGTCTGCCCATCCATAGCCATATGGATTTTCAGATCAAATAGCACGCCTTCAAACTCCATCCAAGACAACTCTACCTCTTCTAAACTTGGAAACCATGAAATGCACTTTGATGGAAATATTGCTTTTTCAAATATTCCTGCAGATTGATGCTCAACCCTTGGCGTTGTTTCCTGAAAAAGAAAAATCATTGTCGGTTAAACAATTTCAAATTTCCACATATCGGCTGCCTCCTCATATCATAGAGATTGGAGAGTGGGACATACCTCTTGGTTGGAGTATAGCTTGTTGGCTTGGAAGAAACCAACCAAACTCCATAGATGCCAGAGACTCAATTTGGTTAATTTATTGAAAGATATTATATCGGCTTCCTTCTCATGTTCCCTCCCCTGCTTCGACACAATTTCTTCCATTTGATGACATCTACCAATATCTAATTCCTCGAGTTGTACCAAGTTTCTCGCTGCTGATAGTGAAAAGGCATATTTTAAGACATTACAATTGAACAATCGAAGGAATCTTAGGTTGGTCAAAAAGCTATTCGGAAGTTGACTAGCTGATTGTATGTGAGGAAATGGTGTCTGCTGGGTCACACTTGTTCCATTTGCAAGATACTCAGTATTTGTACAATGCTCAAGAGTCAAATATTTCAAATCTTGAAATCCCTCTTGGTCTAAATCAGTGAGGACAGAGAAATTCTTAACTTTGCACAAAAACAAATCTTCAGATTTTTTCAACAAGAGCCTAACTGCTTGACTCTCCAACTCCCTTGCATCACCTTCATCAATAAATAGTGAGTTTCTGAATGCATAAGTTGTCATCTCCGAAAACATCTTCGGAAACATATTCGAAAACATGTAGGTACTTCCAATAGCGAATTTTATTGTTGGGCTTTTCAAGACTACGTCTTTTGGCAACAAGTGGATGAAATTGGGGGGTAATTCTATGGATAGAACCTTCAAATGATGAGACAGAGACATCACCTCAGAAATGCTTGCCATCCTCTTCTCTTCTCTTCCTGTTCCAAGGTCCCATTTATCAAAGCTACCCATCATATACAACTCTTCAAGTCTACATAAGCTGGAGAAGATACCATGTGGAATCACCTTAAGATTCTTGCAGTTTGTCGTATCTAACAACCTCAACTGTTTAAGTCGTCCAATTTCGCTCGGCAACTCACGCATGTAATAACAATCCCGAAAACTGAGGATTTCTAAATTCTCCAAAGGCCCAATAACATCAGTAGACATGCCATCAAAGTCAGACCCATCTAGGATCAAGGTCCGCAGGTTCTTCAGTACTCCTGGTGATCTTGATGAGCCTAGGTCTTCCATTTCCATTCCCACCAAAGCTAAAACCTTCAGTTCTTTCATCGCCTTACAAATGATGTCCATGCTACCTTTTGAAAAACGTCCATTCATCGTCTGTAGAAGCTCAAGTTTTGGGCAACCAACTGGAATCTTCAAATCGCCAACCAGTGAGATTGTGTCATATGTAGCTAAATTTGGCCACTCTTTATTTTCAGCATGACTTCTTACCAGAAATCGATGTGGATCTCTAGAAGCAATCGATATGGCAACATCGCGAACTATGTCATGCATTTTTGTAGTCTCACTACTGCCACCATCTAGTAACAAAAACCTTCTTTTTAGTTGGTCAACCAAAGAATGCACTCTATTTCTTGCATCTTCCAAAGTAACGATGCTGCTAAAATATCCTCGACCCCACCCATATCGAACCAAATACTCAATTGGAATATCATAATCTTCTGGAAATAAACAACAAAGTAAAAGACATGACCTGGCTTCATCACTCTCCAATCTATCATAACTCCATTTTATGCTAGAATAAACTTTGTCATTCACTCCAGGGATGTTCACTGGGGTAGAATTTCGCAGCTGATTAAGGGCATCATCCCATTCACGCTTGTTTTTCTTTTCTAGGGCTTTTCCAACAGTTACAATTGCAATAGGTAAATCTCCACATTCCTTCACGACATCTTTTGCAATGGAACGTAAATCAGGATCATGGAATGATTCACCTACCATTTCTCGAAAGAGCTCCTGTGATTCTTCTGTTGTTAAAGTCGGGACTGCAATAATTGGTTGACTTCCCATCCTGTTGCAGACTTCCCAATCTCGTGATGTCAACAAAACTTTGCACCCTTTATGAGCATCTGCAGAAGGGAGTCCAATAGCCTCAAAATCAGGCTCTGTCCAGACATCATCTAATACAATCAGGATCCTTTTTATTTCCATGAGTCTTCCATGTAGCTTTAGTGCTCTTCCGGGCTCGGATTCCTCCTCAAATTTCAAACCTATTTTGTCCGCAATTTCCGACTGGATCGTCCTAATACTTGGACTTTGAGACACAGTTGCCATTACACTTTTATCAAACAAGTTTAGTTTTGCCAATCTTACGATGATTTCTTTCACCATTGTGGTTTTACCCACACCCCCCATTCCACAAATCCCGATCATTCGTACTTCTTCCCTCTTCAAACCCTCCATCACCTCATTCATGTTTGCCATTCTGGACTTAAAATCCTGAAAACCTTTCTTGAATGTTGACCATATCTCTGGTGGAGGTGCAGGATGGGCAACATTTTCATATCTTCCTTCGTTTTGGAGCTGAAGAACATGTTGTGTAATCTTATAGGCTCTCCGACTCAAGCTCCATCGATACACACATCGCCTTTTCTTGCTAATTTCCTCCTCAAACTGCAACACTTTTTTGACCAGGTCGTCGTTCACATTCTTTAGCCAACTCTGAACATCAGGTTTGATGATTTCACCGTTCCTTTTGGCAGCATCTACCAATCGCTGCACTCCATCTCTCTTGTCAAAAAGCTTTTTTTATCTCACCCCTAAGACTTTCAAGGTTGGAACGGTAATGAATCAAATAGCCAAACTCTGTTCCTATTGGTGTGACCAAGCATTCTCCAATTTTTGAGGCAATTGCAATTATAATTTCCATTTCCTTCTGAAATCAAAGACTATGGCTGGAGTGATCCTCTTTGCTGGTGTCTTTTGTATGTCTCGCGCTCAGTTCTCTAATGCCTAAACCAAAGAAGCACCCCAACACAACATTAATAATCATATATTTTTGTCCTGTTTAAATCTAAGTTGTATTTTATTTTTATTTTTATTTTATTAAAGGAGCAGCTGAAATTCGAATTTAGAACCTCTTTCACTACTTAAAAAAATTTCATACTTGACGAACAATTAGCTAGTATCGTTCGAAACGAGTTACAAAGATTTATAAAAGAAATATCCAGGACATGCATAGACTTATGTGACTAATGAACTATTACATGTATGTTTACTTCAGTTATTTAGTACCATATTATTATAGAAGTATTAAATATTGTGCGAGATTGCGTACTTTAGCGTGATATATCGCATCGCGAAAACTGTTTTGCAAGATATCCTATAATATCATGATATCCCAATATTTTAAGATATCATGATATGATAAGTAATTTGATATATCGTAGCGTTATTTTAACTTTTATTTCTTTATATTTTTTTTGTTCTATTGTTTTTTCAATTCTCATGGCGTTACCGTAGACCTCACACCTCCTCAGGATTTTTTAGCAGCCCTCATTGTTCGTTTCAAATTTCAAGCCTACTTCCTCCATCGCCCACTGTTTTTGACAATATAGGCTCAGTTAGAATTAAACGCCTAAAATTTAAGGGTTTTTTTTATTTTTTATTTTTTA